ATAGTTAGCATTTTGTTGGATTGGAATTCAAAACAAGAAAACACCACTCGGCACTCGCCAACAAAAAAGTGAGCTCCTAAGCATGCCTTGCATGTAGGTTCGTCTAGACGGACCTTTGATAACACCGTCTAAGAGCATATTCAACCCATTTTATATGCTTCTCCAAATTGTGGTGACATATGAAATATTTAGCTAAGCATAAAAAATAATAGAGATACTTTTAATTAATTTTTATAACACGTTTGATAACCTACTTTCAGTAACAAACTTATTTATTCTAGGCAAAACATGCTAAATCTTCTGCTTAACTGTAAAATCAAATATTACATTATTATTTTAGTCAGACCACTAATTGGAAAATTCAACTTTTAGAGGATAGAATTAAATGGTGTCAATAAATTAAGAGCAATGGCGATGGATACAACCTGTGCAGGCCAGGGCAAGGCCGGCAACCCATGTTGTACCTCACATGTTCTTCAACCATTTGTTTTTGTGTATATGTACAATTTACCACACAAATAATAGCCCACAAATTTAATTTTCTCATAGAATAATGAATCACAATTGGAATGATTTTCTGTGTAATTGATATCTATGTCGTCCCCACCAAACTTGTTACACTGATCAGATGAATGATTTTGGGAGTGTCAAAATCAAAAACAGCACAAAAGACAAGAATAATGAATGCAAGTGCGGGAACTCAATGCGCCATGTCATGTGTTGAGTTGAATGTTCAAATCTTCTGAAATCGTGCCGGCCTCAACGTTGTTTGTTTGTTTCACCTTACGTACGGTACTCGCTCACAAGATGTGTCATTGTGGAAGAAAATAAAGACAAAGACCCTTCTTTTTCTTTATCGAGAAACTTGTACAAACTTCTGTAATAAGTTGATTTGTCTGTGTGATTATTATCACGAAAATGGCGTCTTCGGGAAGAGTATTGCACAAGTCCGAGAGACCCCCTTCTTCGAGAAACAATGGCGGTAGTGGTGGCGGTGGTGGTCCAGAAGAACAGCGCCATTCGGTTCGCTCGAATTCGAAAGCACCCATTTCTAATAGTAGACGCTCCGTCACTCCCACTTCAAGAACTCGCCCTCAACCTCTTGATACTGACCCAGGTCTCTCTCTTTTCTCTCACACACACCTGGGCCATAACTAGCACTTCTCATTTCTTCGATGTCCATTCTGAAGATTGTAACGATTTATTTTATAAATTGTCTAATTTCACACTAATATTTCCATTTGAAGATATTTTTGCCTTTATCCTCCTGTTTTAAGTTTAGATAGTTTATGCAGAAAGACTGCATTCTTTTTGTAAGAATTCGTGTGTGAATGCATTGATGCTATATCCACCATTTATGGTAGAACCCATGATTTCCATAGTTAAGAATTCAATTAGACTTGAGAAGAAAATGGGTTCGGTGTAATGTAGAGTGTTAGATTGTAGAGAAAGGGGTCCGCACGCATGTGAGAGAGCAAGAGAACTTCATTTGTACCAGTAGTATATGAATTATCCAATGGGACTCCAATTATATATAGTCGTCTCAATCTCAATATAGGACATGTTGCGCAAACCATTTGAGTTACTGTTTAATTTTTTGGCTTCTGTTTCAACGAAGGTCTCAGTTGATCCTTTGGCGTTTCTCCTCCTGATGCGGCAACTTTGGGGATTTGTCTTTGCTACGTCCTTTTCATTTGTTTATCTTCTTGAATTTGGGGACCTTTAGTCTTTAAAAACTTTTTTCTTTCAGCATTTTAAATAAATAAATATTATAATAAAATATGCCGGAACTCAGGAATATCCTACATTCATAGAGGTTATTATCTATCCATAAGGGTTATTTCTCTAGACTACACACGTTGATATGCTGAATAACAATGTACATGTGTTCATTTTTATTGAAACTATTTCATAATAACAAAAATGCTATATTATAATCTTAATGGAACATAATATAAATGCATCACTCAAAAATTCAAAATACTCACACCCATTGGCAAATATGTAGTGTTTCGGATATTCAGACACCCCATGTTTACTTATATCTGAGTACTCTACCAGTTGTCCATCTTAAGATTGTAGTATAAATCGCTTGACAAAATGTTCAGCTTACTATTCCATTATAAGATACAGTTGTGGTACACAGTCCTTGGGCATCATTTCAAATGTGTACTTTTGACTGAACATATGTTCATATGCTTAATTATCTTTGTCACAGAATCTGAAAGAGTGAGAGTTGCTGTTAGACTTCGACCCAGAAATTCTGACGAGCTTTCGGATGCTGATTATTCTGATTTTGTTGAGCTACAGCCTGAGGTATTTATGTGAACCTCTATGTCATATATAACTTAATTTTTATGCTAATATAATTCAAAAACACGGCTCATTTCATTTGACAATAGATCAACTTGTGCTCTCTCTCTCTCTCTCTCTCTCTCGCATTCTTGCACCCCCTTTACTTTTTCATATTCTAACATGAATGTTGGCACCTCAATGAATGGATTAATCTTTTTGTATTATGCAGCTCAAAAGGTTAAATTTAAGAAAAAATAACTGGAGTTCGGAGTCGTTCAAATTTGATGAAGTATTTTCAGAAAGTGCTTCTCAAAAGCGTGTTTATGAGGTGGTTGCAAAGCCTGTAGTTGAGGTAGGTTCAAAACTCAAGAAATCAGTTTTCATGCTCATGGCATGTTTTCACGTGACTTCATCAACTCGCTCCAAACGCTTTTATGCATATTTTCCTTTTGTCTTAATTTATCATCAATACATTATATCCATGAACACAAATATTTTTTAGAATTCTTAAAATGTATAGGTACGTAATTGCAAAGATGAGATTGTTGGACTGTGTGGAGCCTAATCATATATACACTTTTCCGGGGTGTATTTGTATTTGGTATCCAATGCGTGTTTTAGGTTGCCTCAATATTTCTACTACAAAAATCACTTTTGGAGACCCTTTTTGTTTTGTAGTCTTCTTTTTTATTATTGTGAAAATCTATGTGTGGTTTTTGCTTGTTTTCTGATTTTAATTTTGATTTTGCTATTATTACTCTCATGGGATTAGAGCTTAATCTGCGATGGGGATGCTTGCCAAAATCTATCCCAATCAGATACTTTTGTATTCATAAAATGTAATGTTCCTTAGAAGATAATTTTAATGTTAAAAATTATTGTATTTTTGCTAGAATTAAATTAAAATGAAATTAAAGTATCTTTACATGACGTGCTGATCAAGTAAAGGAATTTTGATTTACTTTTGCAGAGTGTGCTTGATGGATATAATGGGACAATTATGGCTTATGGTCAAACAGGTACAGGCAAGACTTACACCCTTGGTAGCATGGGTAAAGACGATGCATCAGAACGTGGTATTATGGTTAGAGCTTTGGAGGACATAATTACTAATACATCTGTATCTGACACTCTGGAAATTTCTTATTTGCAGGTAATGTGAGTAATGCATATAATTAATTGCAAGTTTGTTAGTAAAAAAATATTAATATTTCACACTTACAGTTTGACTTCTGCAGTCAAGGTATTTTATGGCATAATTGAAGAACTGATGTCAATGAATTTACTCAAAATTTGGCTGTGGATTGAGGTGTCAAGTGTCGAAGTATCTAACATTTTAAATTGAAGGGAACATTGCTAGTAGTAATTACGACATGATGTGATGTGTAATAAATTATTAAAATTTAAATTTAAATGTTCCAGTTGACTCGGATCAGTAATAAGTGATGTTAGAAAACTGCTGTTGTATCTTGATGTTTAAGCTCGCTAGTGATTCTATAGATTCATAAACACTTTAGCTGACTTCTTCTAAAAAATGCACAGGCACACTCCACCCGAGATCTAATCATTTTATTTTTACTTTTAATTTACTTACTCACGAGTTTGATGGTAGAAACATGTATTGTAACTCAACCAGCTATACATGGAAGCCGTTCAAGATTTGCTTGCACCTGAAAAGATAAACATTCCAATTGTAGAGGATGCCAAGACTGGAGAGGTATCAGTACCTGGCGCTGCAATAATCAAGATAACAAACCTCGATCACTTCTTACAACTATTGCAAATAGGAGAAACAAACCGTCATGCAGCTAATACAAAGATGAACACCGAATCTTCGCGCAGTCATGCAATTCTCATGGTACATACAGAAATCTTGTTTCCTCTTGCTTCTACTTAATGTAAAATGGTAAAAACAAGATTTTTATGCTCCCATAGTTATTTTCTTTGGGCCATGATTAGGTTTACAGCGAACTATATATTTATCCCACACGGTGAATACGACAAAATCCTGTTAATTTCTCTGTCCATCTATTACCACTAATTCGTGTTCTATAGGTTTATATTCGGAGATCTGCCCATGAGAAAGAAGAACTTGATGTTTCTTATCAAGGAAATGAGAGTTCCACTAATAGACATGGTCATCACTTACCTACTATTCGAAAAAGCAAGCTGTTGATCGTTGATCTTGCTGGATCTGAGAGGATAAATAAATCTGGTATGTCTTTTATAATTGAGAGCCCAACATATTTCTTTATTTTCTTCTGCTACATCTTAATTTAGTTTTGTTTATTTTGAACAGCGTATCTCATAATTGAATGCCAAACTTATCTTTAAGCACAACTAAACGTGCTCTAAATGTCCTTAGTTGAATGACTATATTGTCTGTTATGTAATCTATCGTCTTGCAAGAACATTTGTTCACAATTTTTTCCTGTTGCAGGGAGTGAAGGTCACTTACTCGAGGAGGTCAAGTTTATCAATCTTTCTCTTACTTCTCTGGGAAAATGCATAAATGCGTTGGCTGAACACAGTCCTCACATACCTACTAGAGATTCTAAACTGACAAGATTACTTCGTGATTCATTTGGAGGTGATCCTATTTTTCATTTCTTTTCAGCATTAAAGATTTCCCTGGCTGCAGATTCAAGAGAAAAATTATTGGATATAATGTTTTAAAAGCTAGAAGTTAGATCTTGTTTTCGTGTATAACTGCATAATTGAGACACAAGACACTACATAAACTGCCTCTAGTTTTGGGATATCAAGAGTTTGTAATTATGCTTTTTTTTTCCCTCTAATATTATAAAAGAAAATATTTGAAAGCATTACTGCGCAATGGTTGGAAATGCTTTATCCAGTGGCTCGTTTGACACCTGCCTGCTTACATGATTTAATGTTGTATGACAGAACTGTTGGCTGCAGATAGATGGATTCAATTGATATTTTGTTTCTCCATTTTATTACCTGTTGAAACTAATTTAGAATGGTTTCATTTAGCAAGAGTTAGATCAAATTGTTATGTTGAGTTTATGATCATGAACTATTGTCTATTATGTTGGTTCATTGGCGGAAATTCAGACTAGTGAAATGAAACAGGTTCTGCAAGAACCTCACTTATAGTAACAATTGGACCTTCGTCTCAACATTATGCAGAAACCACAAGCACCATAATGTTTGGACAACGGGTAAGTTTATTGTTTATCTTTTAAGAGCTGTGTAGATCTATTTAAAGTTTTCTGTACATATCCGTTGGGCGATGGGCTAGCGTTAAATCAATATTCCAAGTAAAATATATACTCATTTTTAGTTTGTACCGCATATGAGCCTATGCATCCAATAAAAATGAATTTTTGCAGGCAATGAAAGTCGTAAACACGGTAAAGCTGAAAGAAGAATTCGATTATGAAAGCTTATGTCGGACGCTGGAGAATCAAGTTGACCATCTTAATGCAGAGATTGATAGGCAACAAAAGTTGAGGGAGAAGGACAACAATGAAATGGAAAAAAAACTTCAAAAATTTCAAAAGTCTTCTGCTGAGGCAGAAAAGAGTTTGGTTGCGAGGACTGAGGTAATTTTTTTTCCTTGTGTTTTATATGCTTTATAACGTTGCATTAACTGAACCATACTACCATCTTATATTTTGAGTATAATGCATTAACTTCAGTTTCTAGAGAAGGAGAATACTCAATTAAAATCAGACACCAAAGGTTTAGTAAAGGAATTGGACAGTCTGAAAGAACAAAATAGCAAGCTGCTTAATGAAATCACTCGAGTACAAACAAGTTTAAAGAATAGCAAGGTATTTAATGAAGTAATTATCTTTATTTAAGTTTCTCTTTCTACTTCCACTGCAATCAGAAACGGTTTTTGTTGCCCATGTCTAAATCTTGAAATTCTGTAATGAAGATTTTCAAACTCTTTTAATACCTTATATGTAAATGCAGCTTTTACAGAAGGAGAACACACGTTTGGAATTAGAGTTGAATGATGTACTTAAAGATCTGAACAGCCAGAAAGATCATAATGATTTCATGCACAATGAGGTTGCACGTCTAGAAATGAATTTAAAGAACAGCAAGGTAAAAACAACGGGATCAATTTTCATTGCAATATAAAATTTGTGCTTGTATAGCTGTTTCATTTATATAGACTGACACCTGGAGTTATTCAATATGTTAGAACTGATGTGATAGTATCAGACATCATTTTTTTTTCTCTATAACAGTGCCGCATCTGATGAGTTTTTACAGTGGAGATCGTAATAAATGGTATCCCATCCCCCTTGACCGGATCCCAAAAAGTATAAGAGGAACAAGAAAGCATCGCTTCTATTATGTTAAAATCATATTGCTGGAATCTTTATAACATTTAGAAGGAACTGATTTCTAAATTGGAAGGCCTCCAGCTTTTGTTACATTCATACATACACCCATAAGTCACCTACATACATGCACACGTCTTTCCAGAGTTAAAAATGTCTTCTAATTCCCTTCATCACAAGTGTTCCAGCTGGCTTTACCTTTTTCTCACTTGTTAGTTTGCTTCTGCGTTAGCTGAGTGAGTAATGCTATTGCTTTCTTTGCTAGTAGCTACAGCAGCTAGAAAATTCCACATATCAGAAACTGCTTGCAGATACAACCCAGATGTATGAGAAGAAAATTGCTGATCTAATGAAGCAACTAGAAAATGAATGTGCTTGTTCTGACAATGCTGAAGAACAACTAGAGAGAATGAAGAAGCGGCTTAGTGATACTGAAAAGTCATTGCAGGTTGACCACCATTTATATTCTAAAGTATTGAAAAGATATGATTTAATTTGTTTGAGTTGTTGATTCTCCCAATCTGCATTGATTAGATTTCTCAATTTTTGTATGATTTGAATCTTTTCAAAGATTAAATTTTTCTTGTTGAAGCTAATGATAGCTTCTATTCCATCAATCAGTTGCCTTTCACTGTCTATCGATTATATGGCAAATGATTTTATGAATTGTCTAATTTTTTATCCTAGTTTTACTTTTATCAGATATCTAAGAGCATGGTGCTATTTCCTCTTAATAACTGAATTAGATGGAAAATGCTGGATATCAGAAGGCACTTGCAGAGACCACTAGGATGTATGAGGAGAGAATAGCAGAGTTAAATCAGCAACTAGAAGTTGAACGTGCTCATTTTGATGGGGTTGAAGAACAACTGCGTTCTACAAAAAGGCTTCTAAATGATAATCAAAATGCAGTTAAGGTGAAGTTGATGTACTATCTCTTAACAGGAAAATAAAAATTCGGCACATCTTGCTGAAATTTTCATACTTATATTATTTTTTCTTTAATTTGATAATTGTATACTTTTTGATAGGCATTTGATAATTGTATACTGCATTGTCATATAAGTTCTAATTGTTGTCTCTTGATTATCCATGTGCTTTTCTTATTCTTCTTGTCGTTGTATTCCTGCACACTTATTTTCCTTTTTCCCAATTATAGATCTATGAAGAAAAAGAGATTTTAGAGCTTAGAATGAGGTTAGAAGAAATGCATGAGCTGCATGAAGCCGCTGCCGATGAACTTCAGCAGTTAAATATGGAATATAAGAATCTGCAATGTGAGAGGGTATGTTTAGTGCACCAAAAGTCAACAGTATGGTTTTTGCTATAGTCATGAAGTTTACTTTGAGGTGCCTCTACTAATTGTTCGTATTAATCATTACTAGTGTGTCCAACTTTCAAGTTTGCTTCACCTGTCAGAGGCACAACAAAGATGAGTCGCAAAATAGTTAATTTATTTTTTTAATGAATTATTAGGAAAGACTTAGCGATGAACTTCATACAATGAGACAAAACCTTCAAGCTGAGGAAAAGCGACGAAAGCAAGCTGAAAATGAGCTGCTTAATATAAAGAAGATTGTTCCTGAAAGTGAAGATGCCATTGAGGTGAATATTATATGGTTTCTGTATCTTATCAAGCATCATGTTTGTTCTGATACTTATCTGTGTTTTGAGATTTTATTTCCTTTCTACAGGAAAAAAAACCGTGCATACAGGAAATAAGCAAAGGGAGTTCAGCCTTCCGCAATGAACAAGGTTTACATGTGCCAAGCCAATCAAGAGATTCTATCACTGGTGGTCCGAAGAGCACAATTGCAAAGATATGTGAAGAAGGCAAGTTCCTTGATTTTTATTTTTTATTTTTTTGCATTGTTGTGATTGATATTGGTTTGCTAATTCTAGTGGTATGGATTGTTTTAAGGCATCTAGAGTGTTAAGGATGGAGTACTGGTACAATTGACGATCTTTTTCTTCCTTAATTGTCTAATCAACCTTAACAAATATGCAATAGGATGCTTCAATATATAGTATTGGGCAGTACTGCACTGGACATTGGACAGGATTCGAACTTCTCTTTTTCCTAATCCTGTCCAATACACCCTACCAAACATACCATAAATGTGTTAGTCACGCGGGGTCTCTCAAGTGTCAAGGCTTGTAGAAATTTGGGTGTACAAGCCGTTGACATCTTCTAAAGGAATAAATTGTTGTTATAACTGTTGTAAGACCTTATAGTTCTTCTAATGATGGATCCCTTTTTTCTGTGAATTCAGTTGGGATCCCGAAAATATTATCACTGTTAACCTCTAGAGATACAGATGTCCAAATCCATGCCGTGAAAGTTGTGGCAAATCTTGCTGCTGAAGGTATGTAAAGAAATGTGCCTTATCTTGGAACTTCAACATTTTCTCTTGGCTCCGCACCTTGTTGAATGCCAAAGCATTTGAAACCTTTGAGACATATAATGTATTGCAATATGTTAAAAAGATAAAGGCTTTGACATTGAAAGAAGCAATTTTCAAAAAATTGTTTGAATTATTTGCTCCAGTGAGGTGATACATTCACCAAATTCCTTGTTAAAATGTTATTACTGAAACAATATTATGAATTAGTACCTTCAGTATTCATTTTCTTATAGCGAATAGCTAGTAGATAAAATAAATTGGTAATTCTGCTGACTGAAATCTCTTTCTAAAAAAATTAGTTCTGATTGCAGATATCAATCAAGAGAAAATTGTGCAGGAAGGTGGTCTAGATGCACTGCTCGCATTGCTGGAATCATCTCAAAACCCAGCAGCACTCAGAGTTGCTTCTGGCGCCATTGCTAATTTGGCAATGAATGGTACTTATCTCTGTTGCTTTATTATTCAATACAAGAAATATAGATGGTTATATATGTGAAAATCAAAACAGAAGTTTTGGTCCCAGTGCTGTAACTTTTAGTAGCGAAAGTTGCTCTCGACTTCACATGAGATTAGGTTCTTCTAAAGTGAGAATTTAGCTGAAGACTAAATTTAAATAGGTAATCGCTTCTGTTCTCTAACACAACTTTAGCTTTAGATGAGATACTTCAACACGGTATTAAAGCAGTCAAAGGTTTTGGATTCGAGTTTCACCACCACCCCCATTTATGAAAGCTATGCACATGTGAGGCTTTGATGGCAAAAAAAAAAAAAGGCTTACATGTGAGCGTGCTCGAGGCTAAATTTAAGGGCGTGTTCGGTAGAGATTAAAATCGGATTAAAATTGAAAAACTAGCCGTTATAGTTGACTTTTATTAGATGAGTGGGACCCAATAACGGCTATATTTTCAATTTTAATTTGATTTTGAGTTGTACCAAACAAGCTCTAAATAAATAAATTTGTTCTCTCTAACACCTTAAGTTTTAAGATTAGTTGGTACAACGGATTTAACGAATAAAACTTTCAAATATAGGTTTTTTCTTAAGGTTAGAATTTTTTGGTCTACAGAGATGAATCAAGGTTTGATAACAAGCAAAGGAGGTGCTCAACTACTCGCTAATATAGCTTCTAAGACAGATGATCCTCAAACTCTTCGCATGGTAGCTGGAGCAATTGCAAATTTGTGCGGAAATGGTAAGCTTGAGGTGGATTTGTAGTCAGATCATCTAGAAACTTGGTTAACCATGATCGATTTTCTTTGTATTTTTCCTAATCACTATGGATTACCCCAACTTTTTAATTTTACTCGTTTTACAGTTATGTTAGTTATAGAATTCTTAAGATATATAGAAAACATTATACGAATTATTCTAATGGAATGGTCATATGAGTTGAGATTGTATAAATCACTAAGCCCTTGTTTGATAAAACTTTTATGAGAAGTGATTTTTATTTTTTTATTTTTTTTTAGATTGTGTGGTTAAAAAATAGGGAAAAGATATGGGAAAATTTGGAAAATGTGTGGTTGAAAATGAGTGTAGGGAAAATCACTTCTCAAAAGAGTTTTATCAAACAAGGTCTAAATTTGTAACTACACTGAAAAAAAGAGCTATTACCTCTCAAGTAACGAGCATTAACGTCTTTTCTGCTATAAATAGTTGAAGAGTTTCATGAATACAAGGTACTCTCATTGAAAGTTTGATATGCGGTATTAGATAAGACCATATAACGTACAAGTTTTTAGCTTATTTTTTTCTTTCTTAGTATTGTCTAGTGTTATTCAACCCACCCTATTTAACATACGATTAACTGATCCTAATGAGAATTATGTATATAGATGTTGTGGTACTTGTTTCTTGACAGATAAATTACATGTGATGCTGAAAGAAGATGGAGCCATCAAAGCTCTCCTGGGAATGGCTAGAACCGGGAGCACTGATGTTGTTGCTCAGGTAGCCAGGGGCTTGGCAAACTTTGCGAAATGTGAATCTCGGAGAATTATTCAAGGTTTAGATGAATATATATTACTATCTCACCTAGTTATTCATCTCGTTTTTGTTCTGGGACATGCATCTGAATGTTTTACTTCAGGATATTGGAGAGGCCATTCTCTTCTAATGGAAGATGGTGCCTTATCATGGTTGGTTGCCAACGGCAATACTACTAGTACTTCAACACGACGTCACATTGAACTTGCTATTTGCCATCTAGCACAAAATGGTAAGCCAAGTTTTTTTCTAGTAAAGATTTTTAGGGTTCATTTGGGAGAGATTTTTCCATGTGAAAAATGATTTTTTTCGGAGGTGCGGTAGGTAGTGAGTTTGGGGTAAAATGATTTTTGAAGAAAATCTCTTCCAAACATATGCATAAACATTATGCCCATGTTTGACAACCATTAAAATATAACTCTTTTTTCTCAAACTCATTTCAACCACATATTCAACACTATAAAATTTTTTTGCACGTAAAATCAGAACTTTTTTCTATTTTTTAACCACAAATTCTTCAAAAATCACTATTACAAAATTCATTCCCCCCCCCAACACACACGCGCGCACAAAAAAAACTCATTAAAATGGTTGTCAAACAAGGGCTATATGCATTTAGAAGTTGAACCGACTATAATGTAACTTAATTGTTCTCGCAGAGGACAATGCGAAAGATTTTGTATCCAGTGGTGGTTTGAAAGAACTCATAGAAATATCAAATAGTTCTGCAAGAGACGATATACGCAATTTGGCTAAGAAAACAATACGATTAAGTCCATCGTTCCAGTTACTGATGCACGCAGATTGAACACATTTGCGTTTCATATTCTTCTGGAGTTATATGTATTTAGCTGCAGTAGCACATATGCGATGGTACTTGAATTATGGCTTTATAAATGTACAGAAGATGAGTGCAAAGTGCATATTTTTTGGTCATGTTTGGTACCCTTGAACTAGTAGTACTCGAGAACCGGATGTGAACTGGCTCCACGGACTGGCGTTGCCACTTCATTTGGATCGATCTGGTCTAAGGTCAAAACAGAGTACAAGTCACCTCTAGGAAGATTTGATCGAGGAGTATTGTGAATTGTTAGTAGTGTATCACATCAAGGCAAACCCTTCTAGTTAATTAAAATTCCAACAATAATCTTATTTCAAGTGGAAATTAAATATTGTTTGTGTTCGAGTATGTTGTGAAAATTTTAATTTATTTGATTTAATATTGTGAAAATACCTTTAAAATCTAACAACAAAATAAAATAACAAGATTTGCAAGAAGGTTTTTGGTTTAAAATTTTAAATCCTTGAGAACCTTCTAGAATGTGTGATAGACCGATTGAGACTCCCTCTATGGTCCCAATATGTCAACGTACTCCAATTCAGGACAAGTGAGATCTTCCGATTTGCGTGCATGAAAACAGCTCAAATAAAGGTCAATCCGATTTCATACACAACCAGCCCGTCTACGGTTAGGTTTAGAAACGGCACGGGCGAGTACCCCATTGCGCCCCTTAATGAATCTAATGATCCTTTTGACCTTTGTTAGTTTCCAACCGCCATCATACATCTCAGATCCACCCATTATTACCCTACAATTACGATAAATTTGTAGTTTTTCTTCAAAATGTATTCCACTTTTATTCAGTTCAACCTTGGTTGAGTAACCGACTGCAGTGGATTCTAAAGTTTCTATCAGAGTGGTATTAGCTCGAGTTGAGTTGAAAATACTCCGGATAAAAAGATAAAAAAGTTAAAAACTGCAATCAAGCACTTTTCTATCTTAGCCCTAAACTAATAGCAAAGTAATTATTATTATTATTATAAACAATACGAATTTACAAGTAATCAATCATTCGGGATCTACAATGTAAGAACACTGATTTATCGCAAACAGAAGCCTCGGCCACAAAATTGATCCTACGAGAAAAAAAAACGAAGAAAAAGTCTAATGCATGCAATAATGGTCATCTCCACGAACAAATACTCACAAAAATATACCCAAACTCAGCAATTTCAGTAGAATTGGATCAGCTTCTGGCCTCCATCTTCATTTAGAACCTCCATAGTTCTGCTACTAGAATTCAATCTGCAATCAGACTAGAACCTGAACTCTGTTGTAAAAGCATCAGCATGCCCCTTGGAAACTTAGCGGGGCAGAACCTCAGCCACGCGGTCCTCTGAATCAGATGGAATTTCTCTCCCGGGAACCTGGACCTTTAGAAGATTTGTGTACCTGTTAATAGAAGTAATAGTTTAGTGACGATAGGTGAAAGTTATTCCCCGAATTCAGTTTCATGCTGCTTGGAAACTCACTCTGCAGATGTGAACAGGTGGTCGTGCTCTGCAATGAATGCGAGCAATGCCTGGAAAAGGTAAATCCAATGGTTATTGTTGATTAGAATATGACTTTTCCAGCTTACAAAAAGCGAGCAAGAAATGGAGATAGGAAAAATTTAATTTAAACTGATAGCAATGGCATTCTCAGATTTACCTCAAAGGGCATGTTTAACAATTCATAATAAGTACGGACGCGATCTAATCTCAACTGTATAGCTTCATTATCAATCGAAGAGATAGCAGCTAAAGCCTGGAAAAGATCAGAAGAATTGATAAATATGCAGTTCATGGGGACCATAATGAATCCAAAAATGAGAAAGGGCATGACAACGTTTGTATCTCATTTCACCCAAAAAAAAAGAAGGTTATCGCAACCATGGTGAAAAGACAATCTATCTGATCAAGATGGTAGTTCCAATATTTGTCTTTAACCTTTCATTTTCTCAAAACTTGTTCTTGTACATGTAGCTGGTTGTCAGACAATTTTAGGTATGCTTAAGAGGATTTTCTGTGAGGAAAAAATAAAGGTTGGGTGCGGGAATATGGTTCTCCACAAATTTTTGAAAACTACATTCAGATTAATTTAGGATACTACGGGGATTTTGTATGTTTTCTTTCCTTTCCGTTTCTTCAATTTTTTTTTTTCATTTTGGGGGTGATTGGGTGGGGGGTTGAAGGATCTCCGCAAGTTTATGAAAAAACTTATTTGCATGTAAATCTGTGTGACTATCTGATACACGCCACTAATAGTTTGAGCTGCTGAACCGCTCATTAAAAGTTCCTGCTCTTTGTTATTTCATTTCAATGACAAAAGGTGATGCTCTAATCCGTGCATGGCACTAGGTTTAATATGTGCTTAGTTGAATAAATTGAACGAGTTGGACTGTCACATGGATCCTTTTTCTATTCAAAGAATGGATGTCGAGGCTGGACTTAGAAGTAGAAAATCAGAGCATAATGTTTATGATAGTTTCTACTCTACGTAAATGCGAATTAATAACAGCAGGGAGAAAGTAGGGGAGACAAACTGACCTGTTCCAGTGCAATTGAATTACGGCATATCTGCTGAACCCCAAAAAGATTGATAGATTTTATATCAACCAAAGCCTAACAGAAAATAATTAGTCTTTTGTCAGGAACGATTATAAAGAAGGTATTCTGAAGGATTCAGAAGAAATTTGAATATAAGGAAGATTGTGCCAGACAGACCTTCATAAATGCATTTGCTGCAATACTGCATATTCCCCCGAATATGTAATTCCGTTTCTCTCCCGCAACAAAAGGTGTCATTTCCTCATCTCGACGGGTTATCTACAATACATGAACAGAAAAGTTGAAAACCTTGCTTCAAAATAATCGAGATAGAATTTTCAAAAATTGAAAGGGCATGTCCAAGAAATGGAAATATAATTTAAAAAGAATAGCATCTTCCTTCCCTTAAAAATGATTATAAGCATTCAAAAATAAAACCAGCAGACATGGAAGGGGCGTAGAAGACAAAAAAAAAAAAAAGAGAAAACCAATAAAAAAAAAAAAAAAGAGTAATACGAGTAAGTTACTCTGATCAATCATTACAATCCTCAAGTCTAGACGAGGGCAACAAGTATCTTTCTAAACAGTTGTCTGAAAGGTTTAAATACATTAAAAAAATAATAAGATGCACAACACAGGCAATTAATATGAATTTTTTTATTGATTCTGATAGAGGAAAATTAGCAAGAATTTCGCAAAGAATTCTTCCATCAAGGGCATAAGAAGACTACTCATTATTAAGGAAATCAACAGGAAGACTTGCACCACATAATTGTGGTTCAGCTAGTCAGTGTGCCATATCAAACAAATCTAGTTGGACCCATATGCTAATGAATTTGTTTGAAAGCTAGAAACCAGTTTGTTTGAGTTACATGGGATTACATTTGTTGAGTTTTCTAAAAACAAAAATATTCATTCCAATTTTTTTTTCCTTCTTTAGGCTCTGATCGAGCAAAATTAGTAAGGAGTGCCAGAAAACCCTTCTATCCAGAAAATGTTCTGCTATAATCAGAAGACGATTGACAGCAAGCACAGAGTGATGATAAAGCATTTGTGTACACTATGTGCTCTGAATTTTTTGCTGCCAACTGCAAGTTAGCAAAAACCTCCTCAGATGAACATCAACTCTTGCATAATTCAAATCAGTATATATGGTGCTTGCATATTCCAGGAAAATAAGTTATAATAAGGTCATCAAGAGATCTATTTTTGACACTGGCGCTGGGGACATGATGTTTGGGATTGTTGGATTATTAATGTGATGGAAGAAAGGATTGAGCATTTGGTAAAAAAAAACATTTGAGCGATGAAATTTCCCTCATTAAGTAATTATTTTTTGTAAAATCAATCCAAGAGAAAAATATAACATGCTACATTAACAGAAATCAAGATATTTCTTTTTTTCTTCTGAACTAAAAAGTCTATCAACAACTTCAAGGAATTTGAGGAATGCCAGCTTCTTCACGTAAAATTGTACCCAGAGATAATAACTTGTCACTTACCAATAATTGGCAACAAAGTGCTAAATACAACTCACCTGGGAAGTTAATGAAATAACAAAATCATCAGGCTCTTCCGCATCTTGGTCGTCTAAATATTCCCTACTCGTCATTTCCTATACAATTTCAGAGGTTGGTTGCCCATAATATTACTTTTATGAATGTGATTCTTGACTGAACTAAATGTAGATAACAAATATACATGTCAGAACCTGCATATGGAAAACAGTCTCCAGTTGCATCTCTACACGTAGGACCTTTAGGCAATCAATTGACAATTTTCTGTACTCTTCAGCAAATGATGCAAGATCCTTGGTAGGTGCACTACTTGTTCTAGAATGATGGCTCCGCTTCTCTTCTAGCTGATCACGATCTTTCATGGATGAATACCCAAGCCTATTGGTGAATAAGAATTTAAATGAAAGACACTGATCAATATTTGAGGTTCCAAAATGCATTACATAGCCTCAGTTTGGTTTTCATTTTCTTCTCCTAAAATTCTACTTTTTCAAAGTCAAACATTAATTTTAACCATATATTTCATAGGACCCACTTATCAACCACTCATTTATTGAAAAGTACGATTTTAGCAAAACAAAATGAAATCCAGACAGAGGCATAGAAGAGATCAACACAGGAACTTTAATATAACATACAAGACATCTATCAATATTTTAACAGTAATTTCATATCACCAGAATTCAGAAGCTGATTGTAAATGTTATAAATGTTTATCTAGTTTACCAAAATACAGTTAACCTATTTCCTCCGTCCCAAACTTTTCCTCCAAAATTTAGGTTTTGCACATAAAAACACACGTTCACCTTAAAATTGTGGTGTAAGGTCTGCTATCATTTACAACTTGTACCATGCACTTTGATAGGCAAAAGTCCCCAGTGTTTAAAACCATGAGGGTTATTTCTGAAATTGGGAGTTCCAAAAATTGATAAATTGAAAAAAAATCGTAGAAAGGTTAACCAGTAATGGGGGCAAAAGAACATTGGGGAGGGTGGGATATCAACGAAACTGTTGCCTGATGAACTTTTAACACAAACAATCTTCCCCCACAAGATCATGTTACCCATTACGGCAGCTGCAGGTATGATGAAGTTCACTTTATTACATTTCTGCAATATTTATGTCTTTCCTCCAATAGCCCNNTGAACTCTGCTCATATTTGTCCAAGTCTTAACATCGTGAAAATACTAATTGTTGGATGTGGTAAGCAAGAAAAAGAGAGAGAGAGAGAGAGAGAGAGAGAGAGAGAGAGAGAATACAGTAGTCTTAGAAGCATTTTTTATGGCATTTGGTGGACGATCACAACGGAACTGACTCTTTAGGTGAATGTTTGAATTCTTGTAATTTAAGAAGTTGATAATCACACAATTTATACAGCTTTGTATTTGGATGGAACCTCCTTGGTGCCTTGCACGATTACCAAAAATTGCCAGACACAACTTCCATAAAAGAACCAAAAGGGGGAACACCCAATCCAGTCTTCGAGCATATCAGCTAGCTGATCTTATGTTCTAACAAATAACATAAATATATGTCCAGAATTGATCTTCTCAATATAGTGTCAATCTAACACATTATGTTACAAACCATCATGCTCAACGGGACTGAGTTGTGCTAATTGCTCGTTGTCACAATATAATTCATCACCAATTTCACCTTTTTTTCACAAATCTGTAAGATTGGACAACTTGGCCAGTTCACTTGTCCATGAGGGATGAATGGGCAACATTATTCATAAATATCGATAATGTATGTGCAGCACCTTTTCCTTGTTGCAAGTACTTGTAGGCTAATGAGGACGAGAAGATTATAGTGCAAAATTAGGTCGAAGCTGCAAGTTTTAGAGCTTGACAAGTTTCTTTTGTATGCCATGATTTTCCAATGTTTGCAGACTACAATTTTACTACATTTCCCTGTAGACACTCTTATTCTATTCCTATTATCACCACCTTGATTATTCTTTTTAAAAAAAAAAATATTATAGCATAACTATCAATTGAAATCAACATTGGCTTTTCTCTAATATCCCCTTGCTGTATGTAAGAATTCACTTGACTAGATGAGAGATGATCCTTCCCAGGCAGTAATACTCTTTTCTTCTCATATTTTTTTCTTATCAAAAAAATACTCTAGGCCTCATTAATATTGTTCAAGTAATTTAGGGCTTCCAGTATGCAATCTCTCGACAATAATTTTACAATTTCTACTAGATTACAGTGAGACTTGTTAATATGATCAAACTCTTCCAATAACTTTTTAAGGTCAGCATATAAGGTAGAGAAAGAGAGAGACTGTGTTCAAAGTAACCACTCTATATAACTTATTGCATCTACGAATCAAAATAACATAGTTACAGGTTAGCAGACAGACATTCTGAACCTTGAAATTTTCACTCTAGTTTTCTTCCTACCACCTTCAACCTTCATTTCAAACACATCATAAACTGCAGATACTGAAAAACCATTTCTAGATTCATTTTTCAGTTAGTCAAGCTTCACAAAGATAACAGTAACTGAAGCTTACAAGTGCAAGATGGAAGAACTTGCCTTTCTATTGACTCTGCAACATACTCCAAAGAATCGCTCAAGG